TTTTCAAATGAGGACCCAATGAGAAACTGGAAAACAATAACTTGGTTCATGGAAATGTAGAAATAAAATGATCCCCACTGGCTTCTACTAAAAGCATGGTCATAAGCAGGGAACTAGGTTTTCCATTTGCTGTGGGAAAACTCAGATATTCTTCTTTAACACATAAAAAGGTGGATTTCCTCTTTTAAAGGAGAAAAATGGAGGAAACAGTGGGTTTCCCCTTGTAGGCTGGCAGCATACCAGCCTGCAAGGGGCTGCTTGGAGCTGTGAGGAGTGGGAGGAGGGTGATCAGGCCAGGGGTGCCACATACATGTGTGTGTACACACATATGTGGCAACCAGGCAACAGTGGAGAGCAGCTCCCTGAAGGTAAGTCTATGAGAGTAAGAGAGGGGGGTAGGGGTACAGGCCATGCTGGGGGGAAGGGGCACAGTTCACATGAGGTACAGAGGGAGCACAAACCACCCATGGGAGGCGAGTGGGGGGGACTTCTGCATCCACAGTGGCTGCAGAGGTGTTGTACCAGCTCCAGAGAAGCCACTTCCATGGCAGAACTTGGCATGGAAGGGAGCACCATGCCACCATAGCCGCCAAGATGAGGCCGGCCTGGGAGCAGCATCGGTACAACTCCATGCCACTGCCATTTCTGTGATTCACCACCATGGGCAGGGGCACGGCACCAGCGTATCAGGGCTTCTCAGCATACAAAGCCGTGGGGGGGCAGTCACAGCTAGACCCATGCCCTAGTGAGAGAAGGGGGCAGGGGAGCTCTGATTTTCCATGACAAAAACCCGAAGTCAAACACCAAAATTTACAGGTATCTATAATTTATTTTATTAGAATGACTGAGGCACTTTTAGGCTTCCAAACTGATTTAAAATTGTAACTATATCAATAAAGCACTGAGTTCAACCAATACATACACATGTATAGTGAAATTTTATTTTAATCATGGAAAAACATTGGGATTTTTAATCAAAGAATTTGTGATGTTTAAAACAGAGAAAACCAGGATCGGTGGTCATGAGACTCTATGCTACATCTTGAAATATAACAGTGGTGTCATTTAAGTTACCCAAGGAGAATGGTTAATTTTTGCACACCTGGTAATCACAAGGTTTTGTTTTTAGGTTGTCTTTTTCTTTACACTTTTTTTTTTTATTATTATTTTGGGAGTGGGGAGAGGTGCAAGATTAGGGGTTGTTGATAATTGTTGGCTCTATACTATTCAGTTGTGGCCATTTAAATTATCAAAAACCTGCCTGTCTCCTTATCATGGCAAAGCTCTCAGAAACCTGATGCCCTTTTTATAGGCTTCTCTTTGGCTTCCAATAAAACTAACAGTACCACAATAGTGGAGTCGAAGCTATTGTTATTGCTTTCCAGGACTACTAATTACATTTCCCTCTCTCATGGTGACAAACCAAAATACATTTGCATGGCAGTTTGGAGGTTTTTTCCATTCTGTTACAGATTATTTTTTTTCAAAAGTATTTTTTCAAAAAACTACAGAATAAGCCACAACACACACTCCTAAAAACAAAATTCACTCCATCCAAACAGACTATCAAATCATTTTCTCCATAAGCAGTATGAAGACTGAGTGTATTATGACACCTCATACATATTTAACGATAGCCTGATAAGCTGTCATTAACATCAAACAGCAATCTAGGTTTGCTACATTAAACATGATTCCTATGTTAAGAGGACAATCATAAACTGCTCCAAGATCGAGACTGTAAGAAATGCCCACCAACTTGGACAAGGTGTAATGAGGCCAACTGCACTGACGGAAATATTAGACACATACTGGGTTAAAAAAAGCTTCAATGGGCCATAAGACGAGACATGCCATAAGGCAATCTGTCATGGAGTACTCATATTAATAACTGTTGTGTCAAATCTGAACATTCAAAAGAACAGACAAACCTTCCTTTATGTTGTATGAAGTGTAAGCCTACAAAATTAATAATTCATGAGACAAAAGAAAAATCTCATATTTGGATATAAATTTTAACAGGACCCTGTCAACCTGTTTCGACCCAAATTTTGATTATCCCACTGTAAAATTGTCAGTCTAGTGAGGGAATGTTCTTCAATGCTTTAAAGCCAATTTAAAAATTCATTAATGTGAAAGAATTAAATACTCTGTTCATGTGGGATCACCGCAGAACACTGCTCTGCTATTTAGTGTGTTCCATCTACAAGAGCAGAACAAAAACTAACTAGAATACTTCTTCCTGGGGTGTGCTGTGCTGACAGCATTAATGATGGTGTAAATGCAGTGAAAAGAAAAAAAGTAGGGGTACAGAGGATGCAAGTATCAGGGGAAAAAATTAACAACTGAAAAGTAAAAAAAGCTTCATTGTTAATTGAGTGATTCGTCCAAGTCCAGAGTCCATTTGCAGAAATCCTCTTGGAAAGCTCTCTCTAAACTAGGGTTGAATACATGCATTGAAATAATCTAGGAGAATTCTTCCAGGTTTGTTCTCCTGGTAGAAAAATTTACCCAGAGCTGTGTGAACAGACATTCATATGAGGCGGCCTGTGCACACATTTCAGCATGAAGGCTCCCTGGGTGCCTGTAGAAGTGTGGGGATGCTGTTCCAATGCACTGTAATAACGGTGGGTTGGAGCAGACTCGACTGAGACTGCTGGAATGTGCCAATTAGCACGCTCTGGCAGACTGCGCATCTCATGTATTCAACATCCCCAGGCTTCAAAAAGGGTGGTGGGGGAGCTTTAAAGCTCATCAAATGAGCTTGCACCCCACCACCATTTTGAAGTGTGGGAAGCTGAATACCTGAGACTCTGTAAGCACTTTAATTAGACTATAAGAGCCACTCTAATTAAAGTGCCCCACCCCCAGAGCATGTGTTAAGATGCCTCCTTAGACTGCCTGGCAGCAGTGCATATAGCAGCCCTGATTGCCTGACCCAGACTGCCCATAGTAAGCCTGCGTTTCCTGCACCACAACGTGGGAACTGTGAAGGGGGCATGTTCTGCTTCTTGGTGGAGCTGCAGAATCCAGCAAGTGACACACTGTCTCCTGGGAGTGGGAGATGCTGGTCTCTTCTGAGAGAAGCCACGGCATGGCATGTACAGACCTTTGCACTCTATACTTTCCTGGGAGCGATTTAACTCAGATTGTTCCCAGGATATTTTTCTCCTGGAGTGGCCATTTTTGAGAGAGAGAAAAAGGCTGAACACTTGCACACTTTCTGGCCTCATACAAACATCCAGTTTCTCCTCAGAGAGTCACTGCTCTTCCAGGAGAAACCACGAGTGTACAGATGTTCAGGTTTTTTTCTCCCAAGATAAAAATGGCCACTCCAAGAGAAAAATAATTGGGGGAACAACCCGAATTTAAATCACTCCCAGAGGAGTTTCACCTGGGAAGGTGACTGTCTGTACATGACATGGCTTCCCTCGGAAGAGAACATAGTCCTCCAGCTTCTCCCCTTCCCTCCTCCCCCCCCACACGGAGACAGTGCGTCACTCACTGGACTCTGCTGCTCTAAAACATGTCCCCTTCACTATCCCCACATTGTGCTGCAGCAAAACAAAAGGTTGATCATGGGCAGTCCAGGTCAGCCAATCAAGGATGTCTACGCACTGCTGTGATCTGTCACCAAGCAGACTAAGGAAGCCAGCAGAGCATGCTGAGATGTGAGCACAGGGCCCCCTACTTACTGCACAGTATCAGCACTGCAAGTTTCCTGCTCTTCATGGCTGCTGCCTTTGAATTTCTGTACACACAGCTCTGGGTAAGTTTCTCTATCAAGACAACAGACCTGGGAGAATTCTCCCAACTTATTTGAATGTGTGTACGCAGCCTCTTTCTCCTGGGTGTGTTTCAACTCTCTCAAGAGAAACTGAATGTCTGTACAAGGCCTAAGACTAGTTGGAGATAAGTAAAGAAAATATTTTATAATACGTTTTCTACAATTATTGCACAGGCAGGAATAAAGTTGAACTAATACTGCAAAAAATGATGTTGCTTACATTTTTCAACTGAAACAGATAAAATTCATAACAAAATAAAGTACATCTATTGATCAGACAACAAATTCAAATTAAACCACTTTTTGTATGTAGAAAAATAAATGTTTAACTATGCCGGGAAATTTTGCAATTATTTTCCAATACATCAGCATTTTCTTTGCCAAGGTAGTAAATAGCTACAGGCCTCAAAACTAGAAAATATAATTTTTTCTCCTTAAGTGTCCAGCCTCTCCATCTTTCTTTATCATGTGGAATACAGTATTTGAGGACACTTGATAATCGTTGTGCCAAACTCACACAGGAAAGTGATCAAAATATGTAAAAATGCAACTTACTTCTGCAACTAAACAAGCAATAGCTCTGCAAGAAAAACTGGTTGACTTTCAAACAATCCTGAATTTTAAATTAAGTTGGATAGGTTAAGTTATTTCCTTTATAATATGAGCCAGTATCTGACAGAATTTTAGAAGTATTACTGGTAGTCATCAAGGAAGCATCTAAATTTACTATCAACTGTTACAGATTCATAAACTTGAAGGAGGACATGATTCCTCTCTCTCTCTCAATCCTCCCTTCAGCCAAAAAAAAAAAAAAAAAAAAAAAAAAAAAAAAATTATTTGAAAGAAGACGTATGTTTAGATAGCTAAATTTAAATGTAACCATGCCACAGTACTAGATTAACAGTGAAATGGCACTCTGTCACACCCATTTTTCCTATACCCATCAATGCATTTGAAGTCTAGCTGTATTTTCATCTGCCCTTACTACTGACATCATCATTCTCATTTCACTATCCCCTTTGCTGCTTTTTTTAAATGACATAAAAATCTACCTATACTTTCTCTCCTTCAGATTCATTCAGAACACTCCATCTTCCTTTCACTGCCTTGCCATCTCACATTCAGTGAAGTGTCGAGCAATGAAAATGAAAAAGAAATAAGAACAATACTTCTCCAAATTTTGATTAAAGGCCATTTAAAATAAATCTCTTACCTTTATCATTCTAGAGAGGTCTCCAGCATCTGCTAATTCCAATACTATGTTCAGTTCATTGTCTTCAATGAATGAGGCATAATATTTGATCACATTTGGATGATTCAGTTGCTAAGAAAAGAAAATAATAAACCAGATATTTCACTCCATAATATGTCCTTTAAAAACAGTGTGCTCTGATATATGATGTCATTGTATTATAAGTATTTACTTATGTGAAACATTTTAGATTTGAGCAATTCAAGACGGTAAGAATTTCAGGTCCCTGGAACATCCAATATTTTGGTCCAAAAATTATATGGTTTGCATAAGAACATGAAAGCTAGGAAATACCACAAACAAATTAGTGTACACAATCATTCTCCTGTCCCCTTCCATGTATTCTGAGCCCACAATAACCTAAGCTTCTCCATGTCTTCATCTGAAGCCTTACATCAGGGATGTCAAACATAAGGCCTGTAGACTTTTCAGCCCAATTTGGGTGCATTGGGGAAACTTCCCTCAGCAGCAGCAAAGCACATGGATGAGATCTCCAGCACTGGAGCCTGAGTAATACCACAGCTTGTTGCCACTAGAGCAACCAAGTGCCCCGGTGAAAGCTGTGGTGCTGGAGCACCAGCAGCATCATGGAATAAAGCCTAGCACTGTGACTCGTTTCAGCAGCAGTAGCCACGTGCCTGCAGGGTCAGGCTTCATTACACAGTGCTGCTGGAGCTCTAGACCTGCAGCTCCCACCCAGGTGCTTGGCTACTACTGTCTTGCTCCGGCACCCCTTCTGGCCATTCAGAGAGGCAGGGGGGCAGCTAGGCTCCAATTCACATGCCTGTGGAGAAGGGGACATGGCCTGGCCCCAGTTCAGCCATGGGTGGAAGGGGGCATGGCCTGGCCCCGATCCAGACACGTGGCAGCACATGAGGGTGGCAGTATTAATGGCCATTGCTCTCTTGCCACAAAACTTCCCAACCCCTAGGGAGCCTTGTGGGCCAGATGTCATGGCTCCAAAGGCCACATTTGGCCTGTGGGTTGGAGGTTGAGCACTCTTACCCTACACCTCATTCTCTGTCCTCTACACTAAACAAAGAAAAGTGTTTTTAGAACAAGCAGTGCATGAGCACATATGAATATTGTATATACACACTGTAACAAATATGAAAGGAACAGGGACACAGTTTCATGGGGAATACCAATTCTGACATTTTCTAACTTCTATATGCCTTGAATTTTCAAATGTATTTGTGTCTGATTTCAACCAAATAGTTCAGAATTCAGAGGCTTGTTTTTTTTCTAAGCTAATTAACAAAGCAAAAAACAAACAAAAAATATAAATTTAATTCCATTATGGATTATCACTAAGGTTGGAATCCAAAATCTCCCCTGCCTAGTACAGATGTCTCCCACTTTAGTTAAAAGAGTAACAAAGTAGCAGTAGTAAACTATTCTCTCTGTGAGAGCCACCTCTAGTTTCTCCTGGAGACAGTAGTTTCTGGCTGCTGCCACAAGGAATGCTTCAGCATTTTATCCAATTACTGCCTCATGCAATATTCATAAAATGTTTCTGAGATCAAAGGCCTAAGGAGTTATTATAGCTGCTGCTGCTGCACTGCACCTGAACCAGACCTCTCACTGTTCCTGGTACAATTCTCAGTGCAGTTACATTCGGGAACTGAGTGGGGTTCAAGCACAGACTAAATGTTTTGAGATTTCATCAGGTAAGCTCTACTGAGCGTGTGCACATTGCTATTTGCAAGGGTCTGAAACAGAACCATCACCTTTCAAATATCAAGTCTCCCATCAAAAAGCAACCTGACCCTCAAAAAAGAAGTGTGAGGCAGCAATCGAGATAGACATTTTTAGTTAAAATAGTTATGAAGGGCCAGGCACAAGGCACCAGATCCTGCTCTTGGAAGGCAAGCAAGCTTGGTCTATCTGTGCAAATGGTTTGGTGAGCATTTGTTTGGCTGTTTGCTTGGGCCATGTGCTCCAAGCAGTGATTGCTGCCTGTGTCTAACAAAATCCCTAACAAGGGAGTGGAGCCAGTCCAGGCCCAGGACAGCATAAGAGGAGACCCCTCTGAGGGACCTGGGGAGCAACTAAATAGGGCAGGGATGAGCAAAATGTGGCCCACGGGCCAGATGCGGCCTGCTAAGCCATTCTATCTGGCCTGCGGGGCCCCTAAAAAATTTAGAAAATCAATACTTATCTGCCCTTGACTGCCTGTCATGCAGCCCTCGATGCCTTGCCAGAACTCTGTAAGCAGCCCTCTGCCCGAAATAATTGCCCACCCCTGGAACAGGGGATAGCAAACAGGGCAGTTTACAAGCAGCTGGCAAGTCAGTTCGCAGATCGGTTTGCCGCCCCCTCATCTTTGAAGGGGAGCCTTTAAGGTAAGTTCTTTCTTTAATTAAGAGTAACTAATCTAGATATTTAGCAGAAATAGCTAAAACTCTGCAGTTAGAGAAATACTTAAGTTTCTTGTGTGATAATCAGCTGTAATTAAGGCAGAGTAAAGCTAAACAGAAGATTAATACATAAATTCAAAGTTTCTAGTCTAAGGGAACCCATAAATCAAAACCTTCTTAAAAGAGGAAACCAAGTCTTAACACTTTTAAAAAATATGCAGGAAGAAGCCCAGCAACAGGGTGGGAGGCTACTCAGTTTATTCCACTGAGCTCAACATGTATCATTACCTGCCACAGGTTTCATGTGTGTGCACCCAATGCAAGGAACTCCTGGCTCTGAGAAAGCAAAAATGTTCTCCCAGGGTTAAGGTGGTGGAATTGGAGCAGCTATGGGAGGCAGAAAGGTTCATAGATGAGTTGGGACCTACTGAATTTGAAGCAGCTGCCCTCTGATTTTGTGGTCTAAGTGTGGCGCCTGGCACCTTTTTTGTGGTGGAACATGGTGGGCCAGTTTCCCCATGCCTCTGATTAGCTGAGGGGTCCTGGAATTCCCACCCCGCCCCAGAGATTGACAGAAGTCCCACCCCTCCCCCACACTTGCTGTCAGTTTTGTCTTTTCACAGTCCCCGTTCTTTTTCATAGGGACCAGGCTTTTTAACACAGAACAACTGATTTTGCCGTTTCCGTGAAAATCACAAATTCAGTAGGTCCCTATAGATGAGGCTTTCAGGGACAATGGAAGAGCAGTCTGACCTCTACTGTACCAGCTCTCCTCTGCTGAGGAGAATGAGAGCCATAAGGATGAAGACCATCAAACTGGGAAAGAGGGAAAATGTCACTTAGATAGGACCCACCTTCCAGCTGATCTTAGTGTCCTCTTGCACCAAGGATACTCCTCCAAGGGAGGGGTGCCAACAGGACAGAAAGCAGCAGGTAGAAGTAGTGGGCAATCTGATTATTAGGCACAGATGGATTTGTGATGTCCGAGAGGACTGCATGGTGACTTGCCTGCTGGATGCAAAGGGAGCGGACCTCACGAGATGTGTATATAGGCTACTAGGAAGGACTGGAGAGAAGCCAGTGGTTATGTTCCAGATGGGTACCACTGACATGGCTAAGGGTGGCAGAAAGGTCCTGGAACCTAAATGTAGTCTGCTAGGTAGGAGGATGAAGTCCAGGACTTGCATGGTAGCATTCTCTGAAACAGTTCCAGCGCCACATGCAGGACCTGGGACACAGGCAAAGCTCAAGAGTCAATGCATGGCTTAGATGATAGTGCAGAGAGGACCAGGGCTGTGGTTGGGGCAGGTGGCAGCGGCACTGGCACTGGGAGGGGACTATGGGGGAGGGGGCTGCAACCACCCCAAAATTTTCCTTAACCCCCCCCGTTGCCCCCTTCACAGTGCTGCTGCCACCTGCCCTGAGCATAGCCCTGGCTCAACACTCCAGCTGGGAAGAGCCCAGCACAGCTCACAGTGATAGCCCACCCCATCCCGTGTGCAGATCTGGGGGCACACGCCCCCCCATGCCCTCCCGGGCTGCATGCAGTGGCGGGAACTCCCCCCCCCCATGTCCCCCAGATGAGCCACAAATGGCTTCGTCCCATGCCCTGCCCCATGCTAGCTGAGAAACACCTGCCCCTGACCCACTCCCTTCCTCACTGCAGGGGCCTCAATCTGCACCCCCCATGCCCCTTCCCTCCCTCTACCCCTTCCCCACAACATACCTACCAGCCAGATGCTGCTCTCCAAGCTACTTGGCACTGCTCCCGGCCACATGCATGCTGCAGCTGGGTGCATACACGGGGCATTTATCAGCCACATTATTGGCCACATCAGGCAAAAAAAGCCAATTTCTAATGCTGTCAATTTTCCCTCTATCAGTGCTGATCTGATATAAGACTGATGTATTGGTGCACCTCTACCTATTAGAGTTCTTTGAGTGTGTCAGTATACAGTTGGATCAGGGCAATCCAGTTTACATAGTACATTTGTACTTCCAAAAGCCTTTGACAAGGTCCCCTATCAGAGATAATTAAGGTAGGTAATCGTGGGATTACAGAAAACATTCCATTCATGGATTAGAAATTGGCTCCAAGACAGAAAGCAAAGAATGAATACAAATGGTCAGTTTTCAGAATGGAAAGAAGTAACCAGTGGGGTCCCCCAGTACTCTTGAACATTCATAAATTATCTGAAAAAACAGGCGAGTCGCAAGGTGGCCAAATTTACTGATGACACACAATTACTCAAAGTGGTAAAGATCAAGACAGATTGAGGAACTTTAGAAGGATCTGGCACGATTAAGCAATTGGGCAGCTGAATGGCAAATTAAATTCAATTGATAAGTGTAAAGTGATGCATATGGGTAAAAATAACCCAAAATATACCTAAACTCTGATGGGCTCTACATTTAGCTGTTACAGAAAAGAGATCTGGGATGGCACACTAAAAATATCAGCTAAGCGCACAGCAGCCATCAGAAAGGCAAACAAAATGTTACAGATTATTATGAATGGAACTGTAAACAAAATGGAAAGTATCATTCTGCTCCTTTGTAAAGCCATGATGTGTCCAACTAGAGAAGGTACAAAGAAGGACAACAAGGATTATTAGTAGTATGAAGGCAGTTCCATATGAGTTCACAATTTAGAAAAGAGATGCTTGATGGAGGACATAAGTAGGGAGCTGCAGAAATCGCGATTTGGTGGAA